GGGCTGTGGGGAAAGAGGAACCCTGCTCCACTGCTGGTGGGAGTGTAGACTGGTGCAACCACTGTGGAAATCCAGCATCTTTCCCAATGAAAAAATTCTGACTTCAACTTCGCACATGTAAATTTCAGGTGGTTGAAAGTGCAGGTGATTTTTAACTCATTCTTCTGGACTGTTCACCTTATCTCCTTCTCCAAGTCCCCACACACAGCATATGAGAATGCCATCCTCTTATCTTTCCCATGGCTACATTATCAATCCTGTATCACACTCTATGAGCAACAGCAACGTTTCTGCCTTTTCCCTTCCCACCTCCCACTACCTCCTTTTAAATTTAAATTCTGGCTAATTGGGGTGGTTTAAGCATGACTATACCAAACTTTCCTTCTCACCTCTCCTTCACTCCAGAATTAAAAGGACTGGCAGGCAGAGCTCTACATTCCAATCCATTCAATCATTTGAAATACCTCCATATAGTAAGAAACTTACACTGAGGATAGCACCTAAGTTTATTCAGTAACAAGGTATTAGTCTTGCAGCAAAATGGGGAAACATTTGATTATATGGTACAGACATATACAGTATGAATCTTAGTGTTCTGGGCTTCTCTGCAAGGTAATATTTCATTCTTGTTATTACCTTCAGAAAACAGCAGTCAGCAGCATCGCATAATTGAAGCAAACATCTGGTAGCAAAACTGTTGTTTTACTGTTAATACTGATTTGTGTCAGGTAAGGGGCCCATATTACAAAAGGAAAGTGCACCTAAATAGACTGAAAAAATGTTTTTAATGGCCATTTCCTAATCTCCCCAGATACCACCCTAGGTCCAATGCAAATAGTTATTTCCAGGCACCAAAATAATCCTTCATTGTCATTCTACCCAAGGGCTGTGAATTCATAAACTGCTAGCTTGGTTCTCAATATTTGAACCCTAGTGGGTCATTCATTGTGTTTTGTCTTTGTGATATAAGATATTTGAGGTTTTTTCAAGGAGTTGGTTTTGGACAATCTTTATTAATGTGTTTATTTCAATAAAGGACTATATACAGGAAAATCTATAAAAGTTATATTTATTAATAAAACTTAAAATGTCTTCTATCAAATTGAAAATTATGTCTTCTGTACTACATCTAAATTGAGGACAGGGACTCAATGAAAAAGTTTAAAACAAATACCTTTGCTTACTAGTTGAGCTTTTCATTGATAAAATGATTGCATATCAAAGAAAAATAGATGGTTTAGTTTAGTTTTAGTTCATTTCTAAACTAAACTAAGTCCTCTGAAGATCACTTCAAATTTGCCTTTAAGGAGCTACAAAAACAAAACTCTTAGTGCTGACAAAAATAAGCATACAAATTTATTGTAATGAAATAAAGCTAGAAATGTTATTCAACTTGATGTTTGAAAGAGTTTTTAATTAATTTTTTTCCTTACAAAGGCCAAAAAGATATTTTACTTAGAATTTTCTCTGGGAATATAAAAAACTAAATTAATAGATCACCTTTTAATATTAAAAGTATTTTTTTCATGTTTTATTAATGCATATTAATTTTACAAAATATTGGATTTCTATGTGGTATTTTTGTACATGTGTATAATGCATTTTGATCATATCCATCCTCCCTATTTGGGAGGTTATAGGGAAAATTCTAAAAGAATCATACTTCCTTAAAAATTAAATTTTAAAAGGTTTCTAATTATGCTTATTATTATATCCAGAATTTAGTAATAAAGGCAGTCAGAGTCAATTCATTTATTCTTTAAATACTCACACTTTAAGCCTCAATGCACATCTTTGTTGTATACTGGAAATTCAAAGATTTTTTCCATAGATTCAAAATAAACTAATAAATATACTTGAGCTTTAAAAATAGAATATCAAAAGTGAAATCATATGGGAAAATCATAAATTCAACATAGGGAATATGAAGAATCTTTATAATCTGTTTGCAAAGGATCAAACTCTTTCTGAAATGATAAACTTTTGTTCTAGTTTTTATTTTATTTATTTATTTATTTATTTATTTTTGGTACTGGGGATCAAACTCGGGTCCTTGTTCTTGTGTAGCAGGCAGCAAAACCACTGAGCTAAATTCCCAGCCCTGTTCTAGTTTTTAATAACCATAATAGTGTGGTAAAGAACCCAGAACTGATCCACGCCTTAAAATAGCTCAGGAAAACTAGTATTATGAGAAATGTTTGGAGGAAATTTGAGGTAATATATTTCAAAAAAATACTAGTAAAACTTTTTTATTACTTCTGAAAATTGAAAGTGAGAGGATTTGCAGTTGTCTTATCGTATTATTCATTTAAATTTAGTTTTGCTGGGAAACCAACACAGATTTTGATGTGAAAGGCTAATATTATGCATTGACACAATTATTGGCTTTGTTTAACAAAGTGTAGTTTTTTTTATTCATTAAGTTTATTGATACATTTTAGGTGTACAATACAGTTACATTCATCATTGGGAATTTGTACCTTTACATGATCTATCTTGGCTCTTTTTTTTTCTGCTTTCCCCTGCCCTCCTGTCAATCCCTCCTCCCCTCCCTGTTTAAAGAATCTTTGTTTCAATTTCTTTCCTTTTCTCATATTTATTTCTTTCTCTACGCCTTCCACCTCCCAGTATAATAGGTAGTGTGAAATAGAAAGTGTGGTTTTTGTAATTAACAATTTGGAAACAATTCAAGAGTTAAAAAATCCTAGGATTAGTGACATGTTTATATTTTTCTCCTAAATTTCTTAGTAGAAATTGATCTTCAAATCAAAGCTTCACATTAAGTTTTGTTTCATTCATATTCATAGCTCATTTTTGAAGGTATTCGGGGTCCTGGAATAGAAGGTGATATTGCCATTGATGATGTATCCATTGCAGAAGGAGAATGTGCAAAACAAGACCTAACTACTAAGAGTAAGTGTCTTTTCTTGTGCTTGGTTTAATATGATTGGTTTAACTGCTAATAAATTAATGTTTTAATTAGAATAAACAAATTTATTTTTAGTTTGTTTATTTAGAAATTTCTTCTGCCAAAGATCCAAAAGTTTTGAAGTTATTTTTAATTCAAAGCATTAAGTTCTATTGTGGTCATATTTGGACTCACATAACATAAAACTATTTTTTAATTTATGTAAAGCAAATACACTTAATTTTAAATAAAAATTAAAATATTTGAATTTCAAAAATTTTTAAAGCTTTCACTAAAACATTTGACAAATCTATATACTTAATATTCATATACAAACTGTTTTTGTTCTCCAAAGAATTAAGGAATATATTTCCTAGATCTAATCTTTGTTGACAATTTTAATAGATTTAGTAGATTGCTAAAAAAAAACCCTTTGTACATGTATTAAGTAAATAACGTGGCCCTATTTTTTTTCTATCTACACCACAATCTTGTTCAGTAATTGGGTTTTCAGGCTTTATACTAGTTTGACTATTAGAATTTAATGATACTTTTAAATTTATTATATTAAAATAAAATAATTAATAATAATTAAAATAATAATAGTTAAAATATATATTTAAATTATTATATTAATGATACTTTTATTTTTCACCACAGGTCCCCAAAAGAAGTATACATAAAATGATAAATAAGACAAAAACATTAGATTTATGTGTAGAACAACTTTTAAAAATCTTTCTCCTCATATTATATATTTGGAAGCTATATTTAAAATCATTCCTGTTAAAAATTTCTCTAATTGAAGGATTTTCTCAGGCCTATCTGAAATCTTTAATTTTGTGGTTATGGGAAAGAGGGAACATTCAAGATAAAATTTTTTTACAAATAACTCACTAATAATTTAGCATATACAAAAGCATGAAAATTCATTTTTTATAAGTCCAGAGAAAATCAGAGTCTTTGTTAACAGTATATTTAGGGAGAAAGCATGTCTGTCTAGAATGTTGAAAGTCAAACTCACACAACTATCCAGTGATTGCTTAGATGAACCAAATTGACTCCATTCTTCAGCACTGTGAAAAGACAAAAACTAATTGTGTATAACAATGAGCTCTCTTGTTCATAGTTTCTTATCATTACACTTAGCATTTAAAATACACATTTAGTGAAACCTCCCTGGAGTTTACTGATTTTGTGTTAGAAAAGCATCAGCTGTACACTGGTTTGTTTAATGTGTCAAAACACAGGCATCCCCCTCTGAGAAGTATGGGATTTCTTTTGAATTTCACAACATGAATCACTGGGAATAAAATTATGTTACCTGAAGGTAGTTACTGCTCTATACAGAAACTTAACGTTTTTATATTTTAATCACTACAAATTATAAATTAAATTCCAGAAATTAAATTAAATTTTTCCAGGAGAAGAAAACAAAAGAACGTATCACTTCCTAGGGGAGAAAGTGGAAATGGCAGGACTAGCCACAGTAAAATGAGGATGAAATCCCATCGGGACTCCTTTGTTACACTACAGACATTTCATAATCAGTTTTCTTCCCTTAAAATAGTAAATCCAGAGAAATGTCTGTCTGCTTTAATAGGACAAATGTGTATGTGTTGGCAGCATTTTTTTTTTACCTCTATAAATCAGAGGAACAAAAATAAGCTATTTGGTTGAGAAAATATTCTCTTACATTTGTTTCCTTTAAATTATCACATAATTAAGTTCATTTTGGAGTTTAAGTGTTTGATAAATATTCAATTAATGTCAAGTTCTAAATACAGACCAGCCTGAAACCTACTCTTTCTCACTCAGTTTCCCAGTCCTTCCCAGTTAGTATATGGTAGCAGGACCACAGCACCGATTACATGGATTATATCTCTATTTTCAAAGCTCAGTTTTCTCCTAGCTGGGAATCATTTTGTAACGTTAGGCAACTTCATGAATTATCAGGTATCCTTATGTTAGTCTGCCTAGGTAAGCTTTGTATTCTTTGAGTTATTTCCTGGACCAGAAGCTTTAACTGAGGTACTAACTGCAAGAACAATGTCAAAGTTGGCGGGGAAAATTTTTTAGTCAGATTGGGCTTTATAATGCTTCCAAAAAATTAATCTAAAGGAACAATTAATTAGCATAAATTATAGGTAATGAATTCATGATCTAAACACAGATATCCAATGTTGTAGTAATGAATTTCTCTAACCTTAACCATCCCTTTCTAGTTTACATCAAGAGCAGGATTTTTTTTTTTTTTTTTGATTGTTTGTTTTTCTTCTCCTAGTCTTCAAGCTTAAATATTTCTGGAAGCTTGAAAATTAAAACCCATCTTTAGGATTTCTGAGTTTGCCTCCCATCCGTGCTTTCATAGGGTCAGCATTCTGGGTTTAACTCAACCACAAATCCCTGTGAATGTGTTTTGAACGAGTATTTATAACGTAGTATTTCCATTTAAAATATGCAAATATTCTTATTTTTTCAAATACCTATTATTTTCCTTTTGCTTGGCCTTATAAATAAAGCCAATTAAAAAGCTATTCAAAAATGTTTTCCATATATGAAATTTGTGTTTTTTTAAACAATCACTGCAGCCATATTAAAAGCTACATGGAATTCTTATTCTCCTTTGTATTTTTGGTTTTATTTTCCTTTTCTCTAGATTCCGTTGATGGTGCTGTTGGGATTTTAGTTCATATATGGCTTTTTCCAGTTATCGTCCTCATCTCTATCCTAAGTCCTCGAAGGTGACCTTATCCTGGCAGAGGCTATCAAAGTTTCACCTGGCACTGGCATGAAGAAAGAGTCTTTGTAAATGGACGTTAAAAAACAAACTACCAAAGATTCCTCCACTGACTACTGACTCAAACATAAAATAATAAAAACAAAATTTTTTAAGCACTGAGGATAAAAAAGACATGATGGAAATATAACTTATTCCAAACTACATATAAAAGATAATCTTGACATGAGTAGAGAAGAGACCTTCAGGTGCTTTTGTGGCTAAAATGATTACAGTGTCATCTGGTTGAACTCTGGAAAAAAAAAAAAAGAGCTATAGAAATCCTCGTCAAAGCACAAAGTCATGGCTGGTTTTGTTTCAAATGAATAGTTTGCTTGTTACCATGGAAACCTAATGGCCTGCCAACAAAAACCTCACTGTAAACAGGGTACATGAAGAGCTGGCATTTATTTTCCTTTCAAAAGGTTTTACGTACAGAATTAAATAAATGTAGGCCCTTTTACCTTTGGCTGTTACCCTTCTTTGAAAATACCGGAACTCTGAATTATTTAAAGCATTCATTTTCCTTCCCACCTTATCCCCACCCCATACTTACTATTATTTTTTTTTTCTTCCCATGGCTAAGCTAAATAACTGTATGCTGTCTCTCTCTGCATGCACTACTATCCAGGGCAGTAACCTGGGCTGACATATTACACAGGCTTATCGGAGTTTGCTTGCGGCCACTTGAACACCCAAACTATGTCATCTGTTCCAATGAAGAAACCAAACCACCATCTTTTATAAATTGCCATGGAAACCAAGTGCCTTCAATGAAACAAGCCTGAATAATTTTCCAACTCAGAAGCTTGCACTGCTACGAGTGGTTTGTGTAAAACTATTTTGTAAACAAACTACAGAGCCTAAATGTGCAAATGACAGGCAAGACAACAAAGCCGCTTCTGAAGAAGAAAGGACCGGAGCTGCTGCGTAAGCCCATGCAGACAAGATATTTGTTGTTTAACCTCCTAGACAGCCATGGCCTTTCGGCTTATTGTCCATTAAAGAATAACTTCCATTGAGACCAGACATGGGAGCAACACTTTTTTCTTCCAGGTTATTAAATGGGTCAACCAGAGCAAAAGGTTTTTAAGATAATACTTAGCGCAGAAGGTGGTAAAACACAAAAGTGATTTGTACTGTAACCTCCATTTGAAATGAAATTGGCCCTAGCTTTAGAGGGAACATGAAAATGTTTGTGATTGCAGTGTGCACAAACTCTACAGCGGAACTGGGCCTGAAAAATCTGGCTTTATTCTAAACACTGAAGGTAACATGCCTCTGCCCTATAGTCAGACTCTGTGCAAATTGTGAAATATTATTTTATTATTTTAAAAGATTAAAAAACACTTTTACAAAAAAACAAAAACCTGTAAAAATGATTTTGAGCTACCTGAGAACAAATCGTACCTTTAACCAGCCAGTTTTCCAATGCATTGTAAATTTCACTTAAACCTGTTGGTTATGAAAATTTGAAGATCTTTTTCCTTAAATTATCTCAGCTTTTAACTTCATTTAAAAAGACTTTTGTCTAAAGAAGAATATTACTATTATATGTTATTTCAATACCCCAGGATTAGAAAAAAGCTGATTATGCAAGTAATTGGGATATAAGTATTAAATTATAACATTTGCAAATATTAATATTAAAAGCACAACAAAATGTAGTGGAAAAATGACAAAGCTTGATTTTTTAAGAAAAATCTGTAGAAATGTTCATGCAAATTCAGTAATTCAATTTAAACTCTAATTTTACAGCTATGTTCAATAAAGCCTCTTTCCAGGTAAGGTCTGACAAGCGGTATGTGTGTTTGTTGAGCAATCTTCACTTATCACTAAAGGGAGATTGTCTATACAATTTATTGGTTATGTACCATAATAAATCATCAGTGCTTCATATACCTTTAAGTACGCAGGAAGAAATTTTAATAAGAATGCCCTGATGCACTCTCCCATATTTATAACACACGTTAAAAAATGTTAAATCTTTGTAGGTAAAATATGAATTGGTCATATAATGTATATTTTCATAGTCAGTTCAGAGGGAACACATCAGAATATTTAGGTAGTGATATAATTGAGCTCTAAACAAACCCTTAAATCAAAGGGAACAAACAAATGAGTTTCATAATTTACTTGAATGAATTAGGCATCTTGAAAGTTTTTCAGAATTCTAGTCATTCATATGTTTTTATCAAACCAAAGAGATTCAAGTAAAGCATGTCTGGGGGCCCTTACCCTCCTTCTCCATGACTTCCGTTTTACAGCAACTAACCACTTCTCTTCACTATCACCTATTAGCAGATCATCCTGTTTTACTGCATTATTATTGTCAATAATATGAATAAAAGTGTTTCAGATCTAAAGAGAGGCTTAATGCATTGCCTTCTTTTAACTATCTTTAAATTGATTTGAGAGAGCCTTTTGCAAAAAAAAGTAAAAACAAACAAAAATTTAAATTCAGAATACTTGAATATATGTGTCCTTTAGAGGAATATATCCAAATTTCTTTTACTTTTAACTAATCCTGAAAAAAGGAAGTGCTACAAATGAAAGTTTCTATCATACTATGAAGCACTGATAAAATCCTAAAATAATCTCAAATTCTCACATCATAAGAATATACACACTTCTGAAATTCATGAGAACTGGCTGGTATGTCAAAATTTTAATTAAATTTTTAAGAAATTGCAGATGATTGTGAAGAATAAATGGTAATCAGAAGTGCAAAGCAATCAGATTTATTAAGATGATAATAAATTAAAATATATCTCAAGTGCATTCTGGTTTATTTATGTAAACTAACAGAAAGAAAGAATCAGTGTTGGTCACTTCAGATCAAATATCCAGTTGTTTTAATTGAAAATAAAAGGTACAATGCAGAAATTTTTAAATGATTGAGATAAATGAAACAAATTATTCTAAGTAAGCCTCTTTAATATTAGTAATAATAATGAAAACTTTAAAACACCCATTTAGCAACTGCCTTCCTTTTATTAATATTTTTGTATTTATTATGAGTTGGAGTCCACAACATATTACCCCTTTCCCATTTTGATAATGTATTTAAAGTATAATTGGTGCCTATGTTTTTGTTGTTATTTTATAGAGAGGCATCAGGCAATGAAGTTTTCAATTTTCCAGGAGAAAGAACATACCATGTAATCTCCTACTGCCAGTAATTGATCTCAATTAATTAGGAACATTACCCTGTTTCATCAGTTCAGAGATGTTTGTTTCTCTACACTTTATCCTGTCGGCAATTGGGCCTCTTTTAATTGCAATTGGCAACGTTTCTGTGTAGTGATATTTAAAATGTATCTTAGAACTAATGGCATTTTAAATATGATAAAATTCACTAAATTTGCCAGAAGTGCCAAATAATGCCTAGTATTACTTTTCATCAAATCCAAAACTGATAAAAAGATTATCCAACCATATTTTAAAGATTTATATTAACTATTAATTGACTATGCAGTATTTTAAAATAACCTATTTATTCTGTTCTTTTTAAAAAATTCAAGTCTTCTCTTAGGTTGTGCATGTATACCTACCCTCATTCACTTCTTCTTTCCTTTACCTTGTTACCTATTGTTTTAGTTCCATCACAAAATTTATTATGCAACGTATCCCTGGTTTAAAATGTTCCTTGGTTCTAGGTGTGTGGCCTACCATTAAATTTTCTTTAAGAGAATTGAAAGATGCATGGTATACCACAATGTCGTATAACTGACATTGGAACTAATGGTATTTTATTTCACATATATCACAGAATTGACTTTGGCATGGCAATGATTATAATTCATAACAATCAGAATTAGAACCCTCCTAATCAGTTATATCATGTAATAAATAATAAAAATAATGCCATTCTTTACTTTTATATTTAAAAATATGATGAAATACAAATTACAACTGTACTAACTTTTCACCAAACATGCATTTTTATTTTAAAGACTTTATAATAAAATTAATCTGACAATAAAATGTGTAGTTTCAAGAACAATTAATTCATTTAGTTCTGTACGTAAGACTGTATGAAACTGGCTGTGGTATTCTTCATGATCTATTTTTGTTTGTTTTGATCAATAATTTGAAAGATGGTGAAAGACTAATCCAATTTTGATAGACTGATTACAAAGGATTGTTTTTGAATGCATGTTCTTTATCACAAAACTTTTTTTAATGTGCCTTTCAAAGAGGAGGGCCACTCAACAGATATCTAAACTGGAAAAATTTTATATCCCCCAAATACAATTGTTTCCTGATTGATGACTGCATCTTGCTAATCATTCATCTGTGTCTCAACAAAGCAGAAGGTTTACTCTTCTTGCAACTGGGTAGTTGATGTCAATGAGGAGTTATTGCATTTTCTGTGAAAACAATAAAAGCATAGGGTTCAATCCCAAACTATTTCCTTTCCTACAGTGTTCCCTTTGTGGCTAACCAGTTTAATTAGTTTTCTTAATGCTTATTTTTAAAAAGCAATGTCTGGCATTTTCTACTTTGATTTAAGAGAGAAGCTAACACAAAATGATCAGAATATTTTTCAGGTCTAATATAAAAAAGTCATGGCTGAATATCCATAATATGTATCAGTAAACATGTATGTTGTTGTTATGTAAAAGAGAAAGACTTAAAGACTTGAAATTTTAGTGTGAAATATGTCAGTTCAAGATCAACCCATCATATGTCCATGTCTGCTTAGAAACAGAGAGAAATGTTCCATATTCTTGTATATGGATTACTTTATTGACACATTAATTTAAAGCTTAATAAATTCTGAGTAGTGATTTCACTACCCTGAACCCATGTTGACTACTATATTGAAATTGAGAAAGTGGAATTCAAAATTTGGAGTAGGGCAGAGGTTAAACTCTGGATAGAATTTGAAATAGTTTCTCAAGGGAATATTTATAACTGATTGAATTTAATTTCAATTGTACTAATTTTCCATGAGTTGAGCTGAAATATATTCTTATTTTTCAATAAAATGTTGGGAAATTCTATGAAATAGGGATTAGCTTGTTAGTTTCAGTTTGTTTTCATATGACTTTTAATTGTCCTGGATTTCCAGGATGTCATTTTTATTTCTTAGTTCTCACCAGTATACTTAAATGTATAACTTAAATCAAACATACATTGTGTTGCATTTATATGGAATATTAGCTACATTTGAGATCTCAAAATTTAGGTTTGACTTAATTTTCCTTTTGATATTTTCCTTTTGCTTAATAGTTTGAGATAGCTGTATGTTATTTTCCCTTGGATTTTCTTTCAATAAAAGAAATTATGTTAAACACTTAGTGTTTTGGGAAAATTTCTGCTGTCAATAAGCAACTAAATGAGAAACAAAGATATTTAGCGTGGCAATTATATTTGCAATTTAAAATGAAAATGCCACCATTCCTCACAGTATTGAGAAGCTTTTAGGAACTCAACACTGCAGTGAGTACAATTAGCCCATTAAGAAATGTGTAGATTTTTATATCCTTTGTGAGAGATCATATATACATTGTGTTAAACAAGTAGACACTAAAATCTTCCTGAATGAATATGATTTAAGAATTATTACTCAATTTGGTAACTGTGGGCTTCTGTGTGATATGTAAAATAATTGTAGTTTGATGGTGCTAATGATATTCAGGAAAATAGCTTTAATCACATATTTCATAGGGATATGGTAAGCTCCATTTAAGTCTTCTGAGGGAAACAAATAATACTTTAGGCAAAGATTTGTGTAAATTAAAGTATAGATGGAATACTAAAAATTAACTTGCTTATCATCATTTCCCTACTGCCTATTTGGCTTAATTTTTCTTTATCTTTGTTATTAATTTCTAAATAAATTCATGAACTTTTAGCAATGCAGATACAATTAGCATCAACAGACCCATTATTTAAAAACCAACTCTTGTGCAACTGCTCCTTAAGTATTGAATCATTGCTTATTCTTCATAAGCCATTTTAGTTTAGCTGTCACATTAAGGACCTTATGCTATTGTAGTCATATTTACTTCCCAAATGAAATAATGTAGCCCCCTCCATACATGGATGTAACTTTTACATTTCAATAGTGCCTATAACATGGAGGTAAGTTGTATCTCTGGATTCTATGGAGATTATGCAATGAATTGTTATTGAATTACTCCATGATTTAGAGCTATGTTTAGAACAGAATTTATTCAGTGATCCTAGGAAATATGGAGAGCTTCTATCTCTCTTGTAAAAATCTATGAAATCTCATGGACAGAAGATCTGTTTACTGAGGAAAATGAGAAGCTATCCAACTGAAGTACAGTTTAATCATTTACAACACTATTTTCTGGCACTTCTTAATTTAACAGAAAATGATTGTATTTCTTAATAAAAGAGCAAATGTTAATACCTTTGCAAGCAAAATTACTACACAGGTAATATAAGGAATATTAGATGAATTCTTTATATTTGTGTTAGAGGCCAGAATTAGAGATGAGAAAAATACTTTTTGGAATCTCTTCAACCACAATGCACTGTATTAGGATATTAAGCTTAATTTTACCTTAAAGACATATAAGCTCCAACTAAATTCTAAGTCTTAGATCCTTTCTAGAATTTGTTTCATTATATGTTTCTTGGGATCCAATCATCCACTAAACTTGAAATATAGAATATTTAGACATGCAAATATTTTGAGTTTTATGATAATTTGAATTATGAAACTAAATTATAACAATAAGGAGACATTTACTTCTGAGTAATAATTTATGTAGCAAGATATAAATGGAACAAATGAAACAAAAACAATGAAAATTAATTTTAAAAATTGAAAATAGTAATAAAAAGAGATGACAATTTTTTTTACTTTATTTCTGCTTTGAATTATGCTTTAATTTTCAAAATTAACATTATTCAACAGACCAATGAACCTGAAAAAAAAAAGAATGACACAGTGCTAATATGTGGCAACCACACAATAATTAATTGTTAAATAAATGAAAAGATAGAGCTTATTTTTGTCTGCTAAAATCTTTAAAGACATAAATGTGCCTCTCTTCTTTTTAATTTAGGTTTTGACACTACAAGACTGGGATTGAATTGTGTGTGTATTTAAAGGCCATTGCAGTACCCTGCTATCTCACTGTACTCAGCTACTATTCTGAATCAATCCTTCCACTAGGGCCTGCAATTACTTGCTCACCTGTTTGGTCCATCAAGTTTAACATGGCTTTCACCATTTAAGGCTTCTTTCAAATGACAAATACCCTTTTAAAATAAACAAATCAGTTCCTTAATTCATATGGTAACTTCTATCAGCTCAGAGTCTTCCAATGCCATGAAAAGTAGGCTGAAAAATACTGGATTTACTGGTAGGAACCAAGGAGTAAAACATGTGCTAAGAGGAGAGAGAGGGGATTTCACAGACTATAATCGTTCCTTAGTGTTCCCAAGGTCAGGTCCATATCACACACTCAGTACTACAAGTGGAGACAGGAGTGGAATGTCAAGCTGCCAGATACGTGCCAAGGCTCAGGTAGCAGCAGAGCCTTGGGACAGAAACAATGTGCTCACAGAGAGGAGGGCACTGTGTGTGGATATGGATAATGCATCTTACAGTGAAACCAACCAAATTCTAGTTCCCATCCCTAGGAGGAGGAAGAAAGGGAAAAATAACCAAATGCATTTTGCAGAAACTCATACTCTAGAAAATGAGATACTGAAATCACGTAAATTTGAAAAAGTTGCAAGAAACATATTTGCAAGTACTTTAATATGTACTTCTCTTGGTTTCACTTACTTCTATTTCAGTGACCTCCCTGTCCGCCTTCTTCCTGTGCTGTGTGAATTCACAATATGCAGATTAGCCTAGAATAAAGTTTGCTTTAAACTGTACTAAAGAGAACACGCTCTTTTCCATCCACTTCTGTTCACACTGACTCCACCACTTTCTTGTTATATAATAAACTCATTTAATGTGTTCTATATTACATAAATTTAATTACCTCATTTAATGCTTCTACAATTCAGTTCTCTGTCCTGTAAAGTAGAGATAATACCAACAGTTGTAATACGGTATTTCATAGGATTGTTGGGAAGCTCAAATGAGATAATCTGTGCAAAGCACTTAAGTAATTTCACAGAATACATAAAGTATTAATGAGCATTAATTTTTATTGATACATTTGCTACTGCTAGAGAAAGAGGAATAAAGGTGAAAATGATGATGTCTATTACATTGCACGTGTGCTGCTTGGAAAAGAGCATTTTTGAACTATTCCCGTATTCTCTAATAAGCTTACTTCATTGAAGCCCTTGTGCACACCCACATTCATACACCATGCCATTTGTATAATAATTTTCTGTTTTCAGATACCTCTTTCTAGTATATGCGACTGTAGGTGTAACGGGGATCTCACAGCCCTCTTTCAGCACCATCAGTCTTGGCATGCATGGACAGCATTTCGGGTGTGTATTTGATGAGTCAGTGAATCTTGAGACTTCAGCAAACCCAAAATAACATTGTTTTAGGCATCTTTACAACAAGTAAATCACTCTCTTCTTGCCACATTTGCAAGAAACCACCAGTGACAGCATGCAGTCTTTTTTCAGAGGTGACAAATTATGAAAGAAAAAAACTCAAAATTTTAAGATTAATGAAACATAGCATAATTTATCGTTATATCAGCGGCTTCATTTGAACCTCATAGAAAACCTCTGTGTGTCAGGATACAGTGAGATTTAACTTTACTGTTAATTAAGAGCCCCTTGGTACAGGCGTCTGTCTGTTCCATTGTGTTGGCACCGGGTGGTTTGATTTGGGAGAGTTGGGGACAGGAAGAGGAACTAATTTTTAAACACTGCTTCTTAAATAATTCTGATATATCTGACTTAAAACACCCACAATTTAAAAAACATCAGTGTAGTAGAAATACCATGATTTCATATTATGATTTTGCCCCTCACAGCTGTGTGACCTTACTAGCAGGTTTTAAATCTCTATGCTTTTTTGCCTGCTAGAGACCCTGTAGAGAGGCCTGGAGCTAGACTTCCTGGGTACTGCTGCATAAAATCGCCTTCAATTTCCTTATCTATAAAGATGGATAGTGTGTAATCTAACTAATAAGCTAATATATGTAAAATAGTTAACTATGAGCACCTAGCAATCATTTTGTGTTTGCTTACTTGTAAAAATGTAACAATAGTACCCACACCCTAATGCTTTGATGAGTGAATGAAGCAATACTTATCAAGTGTTTTGCAAAGAGTATAAATTTTTAAGTACTGACTTAATAAAGTAACATATTTTAAAGTAACTTCTTTTAATACTGTCTTCTTGAATAAAATTTTTTTCTTTTCTGTGTTTTATCTTGAAGATGGACACAGAAGAAATTTCCACAATATTTCAATGACTCAAAATTTAAAAATTCTTGTTTACCTAATATGAATTATATTAGCCCTTGAACGATGTAAGTTCTTTGACATTATTTTATGTTATAAATGATTTTTGAATAATCATGCTTATTTTAAGATATAAAATGTTAGGAAAATTAGATAATTATTAGTGAATAAGGATACCTTTGGCATTCAAAATTTTACTACTAGTATTTACATATATGCTTATACTCTAGACAGAAATATTGTTCATTTAAAAAATATTAACCTTTGTTTAGAGATAGATTCTCATGTAGTTGTGTAAGATATAATACAGAAATCTCATGTACACTTTACCCACTTCCCCCACAATGATACCTTTCTAAACTCCAGTACCCCCTTACAAGCATATTCCTGATATTGCTGCAGTCCACTGATCTTGTTCCCCAGATTTGTCCTTGCTTGGATGGATGGATAGATGTATAGATGTATATCTTTTATTTTATGTATTTTATCAGATCTCTAGGTTCATATATCCACCACCATAATAAAAATAAACAGCTTTTTTTTTTTCTTCTCATGTGGCCTTTTTTCAAATAAACTATTTTCCCTACAACCCATTCTATTCTTGTAGGGATGATTAATCTGCTCTCTATTTCTACAATTTTGTCATTTGAAGAATGTAAGTAAATGAAATAGTATGCTACCTCCATTTTGAGATTTCCCTTTTTTCACTCAGCATAATTCCCTAGAGATCTATTCAAGCTGCAGTATGGATCAGTAGTTCATCCTTTTTTAATTGCTGAGTAGTGTTGCATAGAGTGGATCTGCTACAGTTTGTGTAGTCATTCACCCACTGAAGGACAACTGGACTGTTTCTAGTCTGGGGGTATTCCCAATAAAGTTGCAATAAACAGTTTTGTGTGCATTTTTGTGTAAACATAGGTTG